AATCAAATAATGTGCGAATACAATGTGCAATCGTCTGAAACATCGATAACAAAGTAGAAGGAAAACAAAAACAATGCAAGCGCTGCAGATGCTGCGCCCATGTCTGAATATAGAGTGCAATCCTCTGAAACATCGATGCAAAAATAAAACGAAAAAGAAACAACAATCTGCACCTWCTGCACCTGTATATGGACAACTGTGCAGTAGTCTAACCATCTCTACAAATACAAATCTAATAAACACTACACCTATGAACACATCACGTCATCCGAAGCACTAAGTATAATATACACTACTAAGAAATACAGGATGAAAGAGGACTAATGGTGGGACTAAACACCATCGTCGTCCGCAATGTCCTTCCTCCTCTGAGGCACCGCACCTCTGACACCGCCGCCGCCACCTGTGCCGCCTACCGGCCCGTGCACAGTATCCGGAGCATGAACCCCCCCCTGTGGCGCCGCGTCAACCCCGTGCTGTGCTCGAAGAAGGTCGTACATGGAAGCCCTCCTCCGCTGGCCACGAGGCATCTCCAAATCATCGGTACCGGACTCCAAAACGACTCCTGCCTGTGATGGTCACTACGCAGGCACCGTCCTCACATCCTCCCCCAATATACGTCYRGCCATGCTCCTCCCGGGGGGGCCSCTGTGCTCCACCTCCTCCCCCCTACCTGYTGTGYGCCCCCCAGTACATGGCATCTCCGCCTCAGTAGRTGCTGTGATGGGCTGCTCCGTCGCCCGGCTGGAGCCCCTCTCCCGCCGACCTACTGTCTCCACGACAACGTCCWGGRCCAATGCCTCCCGAGTCCGCGGATGTAAACCGGCCAGCCCGGGCTGAGTCTCCCRCATCACATGCGTCACCCTCCTCACAGTACAGAGACTCTTACCTGCTCTCATCTTCTTCTTYCGTGATTTGGGAGAAGGAGACTCTGCAGGTGCCGGTGCSGTAATCCRTTMTGTGCCTCAGCATGTACGGAGGTAGTGGCACYAGTGGTGGACGATGGSAGTGACGGGYTGCAKGGCACGTAAGATGGGCCCTCTGCCATGAACCWCCTSGACRCCTCGTCYATCCRYCCGCGCCGATCTGCCTGCAATGGGTYCTCTCGTACCTGCCGCTCCAACTCCCCCGCCGTCATGGCTCCACCGATAGGCAATATACAAACACCCTGAACCAGCGACGCGGSTCTCTCGCCTGCATCCCCGGCGCCCGYGCCTCCACACTCAAGCACTGCATCGTCGGTCGCACGATGACCCTCACCACCGCCCGTCTCGAGCATCCGCTCTGCCCGTGCCCTCGACGCAATACTCTGTGTCATCTCGCAACGGCTAGTCAAGTCGTGCGCYCTCTCCYTCTCCTCGCGGTCRATCCTGTYYTGCTSCAACTCTGGCGCTCRCTCCTGCTCAGGTCGACAATCCCCACCGTCCCCTGCTGCAAACTCCTCCTGCCCCGACGAACCCTGTGTCCCCACTGCKGCCTCCTGCAACATGYTGCTACTGATGTCACCCATGYTGCATGAAGGTACATCCYGGAGTATCTGACTGACGGGCRTAGCCGCTGCGTCACCACTGCCAYGCTYGCCTGCCGGTGTCGGAGGAAGCCCCAACGAAACATCAAGAATACCACTRAAACTGACACCCAACTGCRCAGAAGCCCTCCCAACCTGCGCAGCCTCGCCAGCAACCTYTGCAAAGCCCCCTGCGACCTCCTCAGACGCCGCTGCGAACTCTCCAGCGGAGGGAGCRGCCTCTGCAGYGGCCTCTGCCGACGCAGCAGCAAACTCTGCCGACCCGTCGCCAACCTCTCCTGTCGYGGCACCCTCATCAACCCAGTGCACAGTGCGAGTGGAGGATGCARACTCTCGCCTCGCCCGTCCTCCGTCACCACGGCCCGCACCCCCTGTGTGTCCTGCGCCCCCCACACCCCTGCCTGCACCGCTGTCTCCCTTGCCWGCACCACTGCATCGGTCGGCACGATGTCGATACGACCTCCGCAAACCACCWGCAGCCTGTGTACCATCGCCGCCCTCGTCGTYGTCGTCGTCGTCGTCACCACGTCCGCGTCTCGGGGAATAGGCGCGATCATCCTCGTCCTCAMTGCTGCCCTCGTACCCCTCTCTATCATCGTCGTCGTCGTCGTCTCGCTCRTCAACAATCTCGCGAGTCCCCTGCTCGCCATGTCCTGGACGATCTGTAGGTAGAGGGGGATGCTWCGCAGYGGCTCCAGTGGGAGCACGACCACTCSAAGGCGGAGGTGGAGGTGGAGGGGGATGCTGCGCAGCGGCTGCARTGGAAGYACGCGCACTCGRGGGCGGAGGTGGAGGGGGAGGTGGATGTTGCGCAGCRGATGCAGTGGAAGGACGCGCACTCGGGGGCGGAGGTGGAGGGGGAGGAGGATGCTGCRCARCRGATGCAGTGGAAGCACGCGTCCGAGGACGCAACATCTCGGCGAGAGAAACATCGTCRCCACCATCATCAGAATCTCCGGGCTCAGACTCCACTGCCAGGTCGTCTGGATCGGACCACGGCTCCGCCTCCATCGGGTCCTGAGCCATAGGATCCGGCTGGGGATCGTACATGGCGTGCAACTCAGTCGGCATGAGCACCGTGGCGCGACGACCAAAATATGTCTCGACGCTGGGCGGAGCCTTGGAAAGGCGATCCTTCCGCCCGCGCTGCACCTGCTGCTCGCGTTGTGCCTCCGTGACTCGGCCAGCTGGCCGAACACCCTCGCCACGAGGCGGAGGAATGTTGTCCTCTGTCTCCTCCTCAGCGTCCTCCCATGGCGGAACGTACCCTGAACCCCTCCCCTGACAACGACTCAATCTCAAGTTGGTGGATATCTCCACCAAACGAGCCAGCTTGATAAAACCAAGYTGGTTACGCTTCTTCASCTGAACACGYTCATGGACRGCCCAGTTCCTCTCCGCTGGAGAGGCGCACGTCCATGTGTGTGTYAGGCGAATGGCGTAAGTCTGAAGGAGAGGGACCCCGTCCCCGTGCTGAACCCACCACTGCCCCACCTGYGACGTCTCCKTCTCCCCTCTGCAGGAGGCCGCGTCTCTGTCACCCTCAACCCCTCCGTACRTCCAATCGCCCTCCCGGCTAAGAARCTCAKCCAACTGTGTGCGCAGCRTYTGATACAAGTCCTCATCTCCSCMAGTCTGCTGGCGAAGGTATCGCAGCGACTCGTCCGYGAGGGTCTTATYGTGCGCSRTGCGCCTYGCCGCTCCAAAAAACGTGATGCTCMTGTGGCGAGGGTTGAGGAGGTGGGCGATGCAATGTGCRGGCTCCAACATATGATCGGCCCGCGCCTGACAAGCCTGAACAACGATGTTGAGCTCCTCCCTCGRCGTYCTGTCCAGTCTCGCCCTYGCCACCCTRTCRACCATGGCAAGTGCCCACGACCACATGCGAGTCATCACGCGCCCCCCTCTGTCCAGACGGCGTAACAGCTGCATCACAGGCGTCATGAGCTCCACGATGTCCTCCACGTGCTCCCAAAATGGCGCGTACCGCACCTGATGACGCACCCACCTGGCCTGCAAGAAAATGGACCTCCTCCATGCAGTCCGCAACCAGTCGTCGCTCATCATCAACGCCTCCAACGCTCGGCGACGATCCAACAACCTCTCGAGCATCAAGTAGTGGGTAGCAAACCTCGTCTGTGCGGTGTACACAAGCTCTCTGCCTCGCCACTGAGACGAGGATGGCGCAGCGCTGGAACTGGCCGCAGCTGCGGAGGCGGAAGAGGGGTGGGCGGCAGAGAACCGTCGGTAAAGGCTGAGAGCCGCCCCGTGCTCTCTGATGAACCGCACGACTGCTCGAGCCCTGATGATGGTGTCCTCCCTCTTCCCAAGCTTCCCGGGTGTGCCGTCCTTCGCAATGTCTGACAACAACAAGTTGCAGACATGGACCGCACACGRAAGCCAAGTAATGCGACTGTACTTAACCTCCTCCTTCGCTAGGAGCTTGGATGCAGCCACATACGCGGACGCAGAAKCCGTGCAAATGRCGTTGACGTTTTCGACACCGAAGTTGTCGAACACRTCCTTCCATCGCTCCACCACCACCTCGGCTGTCTCCTGGACARCACCGTCGGGCTGCACARTCMTGAAAAGGTAGGCTCCCGTGGGCCCAGCGGCAAGGAAGTTGACGATCTGGTCGCTAGTGATGGACTTGCGACCATCCGTGAGGATGGTCGCTCCCGTCGCCGCAATRTCCTTGCGGATGRCCGCCACCATCTCCGCCACAACTCRCTGCTGCTGTGGAATACCGTCGCCGRAAATGAGACGGTGCGTGGGCAACGYAGGATGTGTATACGRCGGACACTCGAGCAACCGCTTCCKCACTCGCTGGTWCTCCGGCCTCCTCGCTGCCTCGAATGGAATCCCGCTCACGTACCACCACTGCAGGAACTCGTTCGAAAACTCTCGTTGCCACGCCGGATCGAAGGTCTCTATCATGGAAGTCTGTCGAAGGACTTTGCCCTTCTTCGGCGGAGGAGGAGCTGGTGTCGTTGCCTTCCTCTTTCTCTTCTTCGACTGCACGGCGTCCTTCATCGATTTGGCAGCCCCCTCTTGGCCTCGACGGCCAGCGGCCATCA